TCCCTCGCTTCTTCCAAGTCTTTCCTCAATCTTTCATTTTCTTTTCGCAAGTCATCGTTATCTCGTTCCACGTCCGCCTTTCTCCGCAGTTTTTTTAGGGTCTCCAGATATTGGGCCCGAAATTTTTCCCTTTCGTGCTTGAGATCCTCGATTTGTGCTTCAATATCATAGGAAGAAGCTCTTGTTTTTGCGGAGAGAGGCATCTTGGAAGGCGCTCAGTTAGTGGCAGCGGGGAGAGGACATGATGCGTTGACGGTAGTGGTACGATCGCAAGTGATGATGAGGCACGTGGCTTCGGAAATCGTCACCTACAAGCCCCTACAAGCATCCACAACGTATTTCAATAAATAGACGACTCAGAAGGTTGGTCTGAGTAGCAGCACCTAGCTGTCGCTAAACATGTGAAATTATAATAACAAAGTACGTTGAGATCTGATTGAGGCCGCCATAAATGATCCTGCTTTATTTCCCTCCCTTTATCAAATCGGCGGCCCTCTCCGCAATCGCATAGACTGCTGCTTGTGCATGAGCAGCAGGAATGAAAGGCTACAGAGCAAAGGTCAATATAGTTAATCAACAAAGACAACGTTATAGAGGAATGACCTACCAAGACAGATGCATCCACGACCCTCACTCCCATTGCCTTCTTAAGCCTCAAATCCGGGTCCACAGCTCCCCAATCCGCATCGAACGGGGACATACTCGCGGTACTGACCTGATGGTCTGTCGACCCCGCTTCATTCCTGATGCTGTCTTCCAAGTCCGTAATATTGGTAGTCAGGGCGATGATATAGTCCTTCCACACTGGTGCCGAGGTGAACCTCTGGGCACCTTCTACGGCATACTGCATGGCTTTTATATCCTGCAGATGGGAGAAAAAATTGGGGTTGATCAACGGAGGGTCGAGAGGATTAGTGCTATTGATGGTGACGCTTCCGCCTGCTCAATAGTTTTAAAATGAAAAGAACAGACAAAGTACAGCCTGGACGTACGAGAGAGCGGGCATAGCAGAACAATCGTTGTAGTAAAGTAGTTCCCGGTTGGCGGGATTGTGCTCTCGAAAATTCCGCTCTGGGGAGGAGTATGCAGTCAGGCACTTATTTGCATGTCCACAAAGAACCTGGCTTACAGCGAATATCAGCTCGTAATGTGCCGTCAGATTTCCAGCACAAGACTCTTCCTCTAAGAGACCTTCCCCTATACGCGAGAATCCGATATGATTTAATACCGTGCTCGCAATGTAACCTGTCCGGTTAGCTTCCCACTCCGCTAGAGCATCCGCTTGGAGTGTGTCATTCCTCCAATACATCTCTGTCGTGCTTGTGTCATTAATACTCCATACAAGACTCCACCTCGGATGATCTGTCAGATTTTTCCCGACATCAGGGAGGTTCACGGTCGGAGAAATGCCTAACGCAGAAAGTTCGTCAGCGTCTCCGACACCCGAGTTAAGCAGAATATGGGGTGTTCCAATAGAACCGGCTGACAGGATGATTTCTCTGAGATTGGGAGGCGAGATAGTCTGGATCGTTACTGAGTTGTAGTAATTAGCTCACTCTGGGACCTGGAAGAGAAAGCATCCTTACCTCCAGCATCTTGTGTAAACTCGACGGTATCAAATCGCGGCAAATGCGAGTCTGAAGTGTCGGCCATAAGAATCCGCGTAACATACGAATGCACGAGCACCTGCAAATTCGTCCTATTAATGTACCCGGGCCCGAGATACGAGGTCTGCGAACTACTCCGTGTCCCATTCCCAACAGTAGTTTGTTCCCATCCTGATGGATACGATCGTCATTTTTGAATCGCCTACGAACACTCTAATACTCACCGATCCCTAACTGATACCCCGAATTGAAATCCAGATTGAACGGAAATGTGTCCGGAAGCTCCTTGGTAGTTTGAAGAACGTGGCCGTCAATAGCGCGCGGATATCCAGGTAGTGTGACTGAGTTTATGCCATGAAAGCCATGCACTTTGGGGTCAAATTCCCCTGTGGTGTTGTGATGGTCCGCAGGAGTGACGAAACGTTCGTTCTGTAGGTGTGCGACAGACTTAGCCGCTATTCTTCACGTCCGATGGAAGTTAACTATACCTTGCGGAAGTACGGTTGAATTTTATCCCATCCCCAACCATCGTCTCCACTGGTCCTAGCATATCGATCATAGTCTTCAGACGAACTACGCGTGTATGTCATATAATCTATAGCAATGAGCTTACGAGCAGCGATTGGTTGCGTCGGACTCACTAACTGCACTACTCCCACCCAGTCCAAAGCCTCTAGGGAGCGGGATGGCCCGTCCGTTCAAGCCAGGTTGGGGAATCGTAGTAAAATTCCAGTCCAGAGGTGTGTTGGGCGTTGCCAGTGTACAGAAGAACGGTACCTGCGAAAGTAGGACATCAGCTGTCCTAGATACTCTGTGAGTTTGAGGAAGAAAATAGAATGATGGACACACGAATTTCCTGCTTCTAGGACGAGGACAGAGATGTCAGACTCTTCGGTTAAACGATTGGCGAGGACATTTCCTGCTGTCCCACCTTCAGCAGATGGTCAGCGATGGTAAAAAGAGCAGAGTAAGATTTCACGCGCCTCCTACGATGATATAATCGAAGTCTAGAGTGGGGAGGTCTGTGACTTTTTCATATATGGCGGCTGAGCATAAAGGAACCAGGAATAGGAGCAGTGGTAACATGATGGGGGTAGGCGGATAGTTACATGTGAGGCTTTTAAGAGAGAATAGCCTGCGGGAAATTTGTGCCTTAGAAAGATGCCGTCAATGCAATACGTTGCGGGAACTTGGGTTCTAAGATCTCAATCCACATCGCCACTGGGATGAAGTTCTCGTAAAGTTTTACGTATACTTGCCCTCATGGTCTGGAGAGATTCGGTGCTATATGAGCCTATGATCCTCGCCAGTAGCCTCGTCACGTTTAGAACAGAGGTAACTTGCTTTTTCATTGCTCAGTCGGAGACGCTGAGCTCCATGATTATAATGGTACGCCGGAAGGTGCTAAGCATCTGGGAAAAATAGCGGAAGTCCAAGTGGATATCGTCTCACCTAGGGAGAAATGAGATAACTTGCACGTAAACCACAGTGAATCAAGCGTGGCTCCGCTTGATGGAATTCTCATCTGATCAGCGTCATCCTATTGAACGCTGATTGAATGATATTCCAGCCTGGTTCGAAACATTTTTATAAATAGCCCGTCGGTTTTCCTCGCTATTTCCAAGCAACAGGAAGGACGAATGCGGCGAGGAGCGGCTATATATACAAACCTAAATCACCAAGTCATGATAGTGGTTGCGGTGGCGGCACCTGGTAGTGCCTTTCGTCTGTTTGCTGTAAATGTGTTTCTTGGTGTCATGGCAGTGCCTCTCAGAGCCTTCCTTCTGGTTCATACAAACGTTGAATGTGCGATCAGCATAATTTCAAGCAGTAGCGGACGCATCTAGTCTAGCCATGACACGTGCTGAAGTTGTAACTGAAAGAATTTGAGCAATGAGCACCGTCGGACTGAGCCTGCAGGACTTGTCGTGACGTTATGGCCACTGCGATGAGAGACATATGCAGCACGTAAAAATATCGGCTGTGAGAAGCTGGTCAGGTATATAACACAAGAATACGACGAAGTAAACCACGTACGTACACGCTAACGTCGTAGTTGTAAGTAGCCGGCCGGGCTACGCACTGCGGTGATCATGGTAGTCGGGACGGTAGCGGCACTTAGTAGGATATCCTTCTTGTGTTTAGTATATATGCATTTCGCACCCGCTTCTCCTTCTTGACGGAGACTCTGGAAGCACTCCTTCTCATTCACACAGGCTTTGGATGAATGTGTGACCTTGAATGTGATTCTAAGCAGTAGCAGACGTATCTAGGGGAATGGCCTAGGATCAGGCCTACATATGATTCCGATCTATAACGGAATGCTTGTCCGCCCATTCTATACGTGCGAAAGCAGTTCTCGGCGTAGGTCCTTGCTCTGTAGATAGGAAGTAGACCACGAAGCGACCTCGATAGGACCGATTTCATCAGAACTCAGTTGATGAGTTTCATTAGACTGTGATTTCGACGTAGACCCGGTATCGCATTGAAGGACTTCAGAGAAATGATGAGGTGGTGGTGGGAATTGAGAGTACCAGATGTCGAGGCGTTACCGCACAAAGATAACATGCATGACAGCAATAATATGACTTGAGAGACAAGCTGGTCAGGTAGGTAACTCAATAATACTACAAGTAACCCACGCACCTGCTTCAACCTGGGCACCCTTCTCCCTTTGGCTTCGTACCACTTTGAAATCGTTGAAGGTTCCCTTCCTTTGATGGTAAATGAAGGCAAGAAGGCAAGACGGTATTGCGGGATGAGGTTCGTTGATCAGTGTAATCCGGGTGTTGCCGGATTTGCCCCGCAAGCCTCTTTTAGGTCAACGACACTGAACTTCTTCTATATGGCGTTCAAGTGGGCGCCTGATTGCGATACAGCATCATGTGTATGCAGCGCCTACTGGATTTTGTTTCTGACTTCACATGTCCGGCACATTCAACCTTGTGACTTGTATCGAATTAGCAAAGCTCGTTGCTAGCCTCAGTGAACTTGCGCCCTTTCCCTACATTGGCTCTATCGCTGCATCTGTGGTCGCATTATTGGAGATATTTCAGGTGTGTAGTCCCCTCCTGCCTGGTTCTGCCGCTGATGAAGTCGCCAGAGTGCAGCTAAGAACTCCGATGACTTGGGTGAACTAGGGCAGAGTATCGTCCATACCTTAGTAGTAGCGAGGGATACCGTCCTGGGGCATGAAGACGCGAACGATATACATTTCCGCAATATCTGCATCGAATTTCAGATGTTAGTGAGTACGGCATTGACACTTGTATCTTTTACTGATTATCCACAAATATACTTGTCAGATAATTTGAACGAGTTGAGCGGGATCAAACGCAAGTCGTACGGGATCAAACGCGTCTTGAGGGCAAATAAAGTTTCTCATGATATAGAGACTTTTAAGCAGCGGTTTGAAGCCCTGAAAGGAAATTTTTTGATAGAATTACTTTATTTATATTGAACGTTAACGTGCTCATCCTCCTTCTAGATCCGAGCAGCCACTGGCTCGCGTCTTTTTCTGTCTGATGTCACGAAAGCGACCAATACCAGTATCACTGCCATCGATACTTCCCTCCAGCGCATGGAAACTGCCATCGATGCCGGAAACACACAGACAAGAGGTTTGCGAGAAGAGACGCGTGTCTTGGGAACCTTGCAAGCGCAAAGCGTGGAAAGGATTCGTGCGGACATTCAAGCACTTGACGGGGGACGGCTCTACAAGGGGATGGTAGGTCCCTCATTGATACAAAAGGATACAAACCTCATTTAATTCTTATTGAGTAGGTGCGGGACATCCTTCCAGGCGAAATTTATCTCAGCAGGGGCTTTTCTCCCTCCTACTCCTGGGATCCAGTATTCAATGAGTACTCTACCAACATAGAAGGGCCCAAAATTGTTCGTGTCTACCAATCTAACGATCGAGAAGCCATGTGGGTAGGCTATCCTTTTCTTATTTCCATTGAACAACACACAAGCCTTTTCAGCGATTCCAAGCCGACTTGGATCAGAGATTGTATCTTCGGTAATGAACTGTACGATCTAGCGTTGGTTTCTGAATCTCACACGAAGAAAACAGGCACCCGAATATTGATCAACTGTTTGGAGTGTGTACTTCCCAGCATTTTCCTGCCCTGGTATTTCATTCTGGTCAGGATTAAAAATTCTCATTGCTTTCTGTGTCCTGAAGTGATACCTTTGCAGGAAGTCATGAAAAGCGAATGCCCATTGACCAGTATATCGATACCTTGAGCGCATGAAAAGCCCTGCTTTTCAATTCTCTTATGGTGAAGGATACGCGCTTTTGAAGTTTACTGATCGAATTTTGACGCGAGACTTCTAGTACTATGACATTGTGGTGCGGAAGGCTTTTTAGAGAGTTGTACAAACCATGAATGCTGCTTTTTAGGAGACGATAGAGTATTTAAAGCAGTTTGATCTTTGGCATGCCTTCAGTTTGCTTCGACCGGGTGAGGTGAGCGTTCCTGGTCACTCAACTGAGCAAGTTCTTCCTAGTGCTGACGACTCTCGTAGGCGGCCGACTCCACTCTGCACACATATGTGAATGAATGGGGTCGTATCGTCCTGGCAGAGTTCGCCCCAAGGACAAATCATATGTTGCACAGTGAACTGCACCTCCTCCTTCGCGGGAAACGTTCTAAACAAGCGAACCAATCAAGAATACTCTCCTTTGACCATCTCAAGGTCTGGGATAAGCATCGTGCTCAACGCGTCTGGAGTATGCTCATGGACTGTCGTTTTGAAAAAGACACTTTGCCACAGATCTATGACCTCATTTACCAACTCTCAGTGGACTGGAAACTTGGCTCTGCGTCTGTGTCTGAACGACAATACTTTGACCCGCCAGGTAGCATCAGACAGGAAGAGAGTGTTCTGCAGAACAAGTATTATCCGATGATAGCATCGGGCTATGAGTGGTCTGTAAGCCAGCACACCGGACCGAGGGAGAAAATGACGGAAAAGTGCGTCGTATTTTCATGATGGGCACGCCCCACTTTCCAACTTTTCCGCAGAAAACCAGTGAGATATCTGGTGCCAGGCTCGTTCTTTTTGAGCTCTCCCAATATAAACGATGCCTCGTATCTGGAATCTAATGATGTTCGACGAATGGTTCATTCTTGGTTTGCACAAGCATCTCAGTTATACCGCTCGAGTGATTGGTCATCTTTTGGTCGGACTTACCTACAACGAGGTACATATACATATTGAATGCGATATTCAAGGATCCGACTGAACCAATCACAGATCTGGTATTTAACATTTTGGTTGAGATTATGGACTTCGAAAAGTGGAAAGACTGTCAGCTGTCTGATACATTTATGGCAGACCAATCAACGGTCTATATATCGATCTGGGCGCCTTGTACCGACCAGCAGACTGGGAAAATCCAGCCGCCCGTTATCAGCTTCTGTATGGATTCAGATCCGACAGGTCTATTGTCGCGCGCAGAGGTGGAGGACATGCTCGACTTAGAAATTACCCTGGAAGCATGGTGGTGGGAGTGCATGTTGCCACAGAAACAGCTCTCGACGATTCAGGAGATTAATGCGCTCTGTGGATTTGACCCGGCTTTGGGGGGTACGGACATTCGCGAATACTTTGACCTGCTCTCGTTGCAGCTTTCCAGCTGCGAGGAAACTGACGACCCAGTGAAGGACGGTGAGAATTACGGTAACTTGTACATCGCCTTCGCGCTTACACGACATTTTATAAAGATTTGAAAAGTGATGGCGGACAAGTACAAGCGCTGCACGCGAAATCTAGAAACAACTGCATGTTCTTGCTGCCACAGATTGCGATTGCACTTGCAGTTGCCGTGCTATCCTCGATGCTTTATCATTTTTGAGGCAGGATGTTGACCCTTCCAGGATATAGTGACTGAAAACAATATCTCTTACTTGTACTTGCGGATAATCAGTTAATCTACGACACTTCTGCAGTACACTTCTTTATAGCAGCACAAACATCCATCGGTGGACTCCTTACCGCTTATTACATATGAAGAAGAGAGCGAAAATGGAAAAGAGACTAAGGACGAAGTTGAAGATGAACCACCCAAGCATGTGCTAGGTCGTCTCGAAAGGTATCGTGAAGATGGCTTGGATGCCTACACCTTATAGTAGTGCAGCATTTGAATATTTAGTTCGATAGGTTTTTTACTATTTGGTAGTGCATAATCTGACTGAAGTATGATTTTCGTCTGTTGTATCGTGTACGCGTAACTCTGAATCTTGATACACTGATATTTAAACCGGGAGGAACAATAATGCCGAGACCCGGAAGCAAAGTTGAAAGAAAGATAGATAGATAACCGGTCGAGGTCCCAAAAGGATAGGGCCTGTAGTGGCCGCCGGATGTGTCCGAGATTTTCGTCTTCGCTCACTACCACCTTACTGCGAGGAAGTTCTTATGACCTCTAGCACATTGTTTTTTTTCGAAACCGTCTTCGTATGCGAATAATGCCCGGAAAATTTTCCGCCGTTCCACCTTCAGCTAGCTTCAATTCTAGCTCGGAACATCTTTTGCAAACTTCTCGGTCTAAACAACCTTCCTGTGAAACTTTTCCTGCTATCGACGGTGTACCTTCGGTGGCTTGAACGCTTCTCATGGACGAAAATATCGACAGCGCGTTGCCATTGTCCCAGGGAAAATGATACGATGTTTCGGACCAAGAAGATAATGCCTCTCTTCTGAAAATTTGTACGTATTCTTTCTCTGGCACAAATGCCGGCATTCATGGGCACGAAAGCTGTCTAAGACGCCAGGAAGACCTTTATTCTCGTTCTCTTCCAATAGTCTTAAAGATAAGGTATCTTCTCCCGCTTTGAAGGCAGCCCGGGCACTCAACTCTCACAGGTCTAGGCTAGGGAGGGCGGAATTCGAATCGAGAGAAGTGTTGCGCTTTCAATGGCCGCACTTTTCCAGGGAGTCGTACGTTCACTCTGCCCCAAAGCTCCCAGTCTGGCCTAGTTTCATGTTTTGCTAGCACAGATTTTCGGAAAATCCTGTCATTTCAAAACCATTCCGTATCTCTTCGGCAAAAAATCGTAGTCAAGGCGAGGGAACCTAGAAGGCATAGTTCCCTTTTATCTCCTCTAGTGATTGTCGAGTTGTTATCGAGTGACTGGCACGATTAACGCCAATCAACGTGTTAGTCCCGGGAGGTCAGGTTCAATTATATTGGAAGATTTTTATCTTATCATCATTCAGGTCAATCAATGAGAACATTTTCTGGATAAATTATTAGAAAATCACCGTTCTTACTGCGCTTCAAGGTACCTTTGCGCTTCGTCCTCATGGTTTTCATGCTGTATTAACCGAATTTCACAGATCAAACCCTGTGTGAGACCCGCTTTATGTGTATTCGCAACATGCTAGAATTCAGAATTGCGCTAAATAGGACGTGCGAGGGAATTACGCAGCTGACGATGACGTGACGCGATGACAGCTGCACGCTTCTTTCCTTTCTACCACCATTTACCTCCCCCGCCCAGATTCGGGTCTTCTGCACTTGGCCCTCTCTCTCCGCGTTACACCCGCCTTTTAACATGGTCGATTTTTTTCAACCTCAACATCAACAACTACCCAATATCCAACTACCTAATACCCAACTACTGTACGTGCTGGCATCTCGTTTCAATACTATTGTTTACCATTATACAGAACCATGTCCGATGCATCAACAGTGAAGGGCAGACCAGTTCCCGAAACGATAAGGCCTCCTTCCCTACGACCCAGATCTCCCTCTTGCTCGCGGAAGCGTGTTTCGCAAACCAGTTTTCCTATATCTCATTCACCTCCAACGACAGACTCAGACGTGGAACGGGTATACAAGCGCCGGAAGGTCATCAGCTCGTCTCCACCGAGTCCAACCGATAGTTTTGCTTCCTCCGACTCACTGGAAGAACCTCTAATATTCCAAACGCCATGCGAGTTTGAGTGCGATGATGACCTTGCCATTGCTGCCATCCTTGATGAGCACTCCCACATCCACGTGCCGGCGATGTCCACACCAGAGAGGGCACCCGTACTCCAGGAAGGGTGTAGTCCGTGGCTGAAGAGGGCTGTGAGCCTTAGTCGACGAGACGACAATTGATCGTGAGTGTTTCCGACTCCAATGAACCGGGCTGGACTGACGAATATCACGGATGTAGTATCTTGTTTTGGGCTGGTTTGTACTGTTACTACATGCTACTGTGGTTTGTGTTCTTCTACTATACTTGTGCATTACTATGATTATACCGTTATCGCCGCACTCCTCCTTCAAGTTCGTCTGACTCCAAGTTCCTGGATTCTCTCCTACGGCGCCGTTTCAAAGAGTGTTAGCAAGTGGGAGCAAGGCGGGGTCATCCCTCGGGGCCGACACGCCTCGACCAAAGCGTTAGTCCTGTTGTCAAGGGCCGCATACTACCTAAAAGGATCCGCACTCTTTGAGTCTCATACTGAACAAAATAGGCCTTGATAGTGACTGCTGTCATTTCAGACAGCTGGGCGTTCTCGTGGCCAAAACCCGACATCTCTTCGTCTCCATTGGGCATCAGTCGGTTTCCAGCGTGTTTCTAATCAGTAACTAAGGCTTTTCTATAGATGCGTCAAGATCAAATTGCAGCCAGGCGAATTTCAAGTCGCTATTCGGCTTGCTATGGTCATATTCCATGTTAGCCTCGCGGGATTGGAGTGCTTAGAAATGACCGTCAAGTCGGACCCATGTTTTCGGAATTCTTCGCAATAAGCGAGTACATAAGTGTTCCCACTCATATTCATACTCAAAATGAACAGAATGAACCAACTAACAGGATAGCTTCACCCGATCACCGTATGTTGACTAGCCTCGTGCTAAAGGTTTTCTCATCGCAAATATCTATAGCCTCCGCTATCATCTCGCAGCGCCTCTGTGAAGTGTTTGCACTAAACCCTACGTGTTTCTCTCCCACACACCTACTGTCTCGGCGTCCACAACGCCGATGCTGCACCACACGTAAGCTTCTTCGTCTGTCCTCCACATTTGCTTCCAAGCACTACTTGTCTCCGTCCCGTGCTCTCCCTCATCGCGCTCGTAGACTCCTCTTAACGTCCGATTCACTATCACTGTTTCTATTACTCCCCGTGTTTGTTTTATCGCGCGTGCGCTGCGAACGTGGAACTACGACATGCGTCCTCTTCCTCTGCTGTGGAATCAGCCGAGGGTCTGGTGCTTTTACGACTTTGGTCGCCATCTGGAGTCTAAATGAGTGAAGAGACGGAAACTGATAGCGACTGGACCGTGACGTACGGCTGAAGAATTCTTGGCAAGCGTTCACGGACTTGGTTAATTTCGGGGTGGGTTTGGCTGGCGTACGATGATCCGTGACGTGTTTTATACCGGGAACTCTGGGGCACTGTCTTACCGACATCTGGAGATGTTTCCAGATACTTCCATAGCCTTCGAGTGCATGCTAGGGTAGCAAGCGCCATCAATGTAATTCACTGACTCATCGACACTGGTTTGCTTTGAGTCGGAATTTTCCGGGACTCGGACAAGTTGGCACCTTGTACACCGTCCGTTCGTTGTATTCTGCCTTTTTCTCGCGATATATGGTCTCTCCAACTCTTTGCAGCGGGAGACGCCTCTGTGGTCAATTTTGTTCCGAATTCGAACAGATTTTATTGGAGCGAAGGGATGTTCTCCATTCTTTATGAGAACCGCATGTGACGACGGTGCCCATCACCGGGCGCCTGAACATGATTTCCCCACGATTTCTTGTAAGGCAGTACTGACGATATCTAGCACATAAGGGCTGGCAGTTGTGGCTAAAACAAACCCATACTCAATGGCTAGAAAGTCTCCGCTTCAGTGGACGGCTGTGTCGTTTACTCGGTGCTGTTGTGCATCTGGACTTGAGATAATGCTCGGTTCTGTTTGATGAACCTCGTGTAAAACACGCAGACCGAGATGACTCTTTTGTACCCCTAAGCGCCAGGGTCTGGTCATATGTCGTGACGGACAGAATCATTCACCCTCTTTCGGTATCACAGAACCAGTATCCAATTGGCCAGTGTGTGACTCGTATATCAATATAATCTGGAGAGATTGACGCTCTTTCGACGAATCGCCGCCATGTCCTACGTATCCCTCGATGAGCCGTCAGATGTAGCGCCGATATCAGGGTCTCCCAGTCACAGCCAAGACTATTACTGGGAGATCGTTATTCTACAGGTAGAGTCTGCTTAAAGCGGAATGATAAATGTGTCATTCATCAGACGTACAGGTGGAAGATACCCTCTTCCGAATACCAAAGCACCATTTAGTCGGAAAATCAGAGGCGTTTGCTACTATGCTATCTCTACCTCAAGGCGGCAACGAACCCGAGGGATTTAGCGACGATAGGCCCATCCAGCTAGCGGGTATCAAGAAAATCGATTTTGAACGACTGCTTCAGATTATCTACCCCATGTGAGAGATCTGCTCTTTGATGATTGCAAGAGGTGCTGACAAGATACAACAGAGATACCACACAACAGCCTGAATTGTCCATAAATGGCTGGATTTCCGTTCTCGCACTCTCCAACATATGGCGGATGACGGCGGTCCGAAAGACTGCCATCCAAAGTTTAACAAACAGCCTATCACAGATATCACCCGTGGAGAGGATCCTTCTTGGCAGAAAATATTCAGTTGCACCTTGGGTTTCTTCCGGATACGAAGAACTCGCCAGCCGTACGGAAGTGGTGTCCTTTGAAGACGCGGAAAGGATTGGTGTGGGTACGGCGCTGACGATTCAGCACATACGAGAGTCACTTTTCATGGAACTTGTTCAAAGACAAAATTCGGGTTCATATTACTGCAGTAATTGTCGTCGTTACAACTCCTCCTACTACAGCGGAAGTTATGCTTCAGTTCCGTCAGTTCCGCCATTTGACTCGCATGCGGTGAAGGAGAAGGCGGGGAGACTTTTTGAAGCTGAGTTGAAAGACGTCGAGGCAGAAGGAGCCAGGTT